TTGCTACCCAAGGTATGTGGAAACGTTCTCTTTATCTGTTGTCTCACCTGTATAATGTCACCAAAATCTACTTTTTGTGCAATGGAGCTTAACATCTCCAGTCTTCAAAAACCTTGCCTCTATTGGCTCGTTAAAATTGAATCCTGAGCTATATACTTTTGGATTAATGAATAGACGCTTTTCCCGTCAAGGTGTTTTAAAAAATCTGTATTGTTCGAAGTCGTCCGTAATCGTCATTCCCAAAACGTTCTCTTCTGAACTTTAACTTTAATATCGTTGAAATAATATACGTAGGAGCCTAATTTTCAGTACGAATTTTTCCATATTAGGCCCTGTCCCTCCCGCTTTCGATGATTTCTGGCGGATGGTCTGGGAACAGCAGTCATCCTCTATTGTGATGTTGACAAATCTTCAGGAAAGACATAAGGTAAAAAGGTGTTGACCCTATCTAGTCCACACAACAATTAGCAATAAAATGCGCGTAGAAGTTACTAAACGCGCAAATCTTGGCATGGCGAAATTGAGAGAAATCGTTCAATCAACTGAGTTGTTAAAGTAGATTGGCCACCATAGAAGGGATTGTATTTCATTCTCTCACAGACGCATCCCCACAGTTTCTTTACAAACTAAACCCTTTGGGTCGGTTATATAAACGTAATCTAACTTAGACCGCGGTTTAGGAAATCTTTAGTTTGCACCTCCAGATCTCTTCCTTAGTGGTTTTTTTTTAAGAAGATAAATGCATTTCTAGTACTTAATGTACTGTAATGAAACAGTTCACGATAAATGGTGTTTACCTAAAAGCGTTCCCGGGATCAATTATAGAACCAATAACTGGTCAGCGGATAACTTTAAAACACACGTCACCAAATGAGTTGCACAATTGAGCTCGCAATACAGTCATGTAACACTTGTCAGCGGATAGCTTTTTTAACAGCTGTCGATTGTATATGCCCTGAACACCTAGCTAGTAATGCCCGGTCATTAAATCTTGGCTTAGCAGCCAGAGCGCGCGTTTTATTGTAGCCATGTAATGAAGTAAATTTCAAGAAGAGAAGAATCGTAGTGAGGAGAGACAAAGACACGTTTACCGGCATTTTTCGTGGAAGTGACTTAATAATTACCTAAGTATGAGCTAACCCGTGCGTTTTTAGATTCATTAATGACATAAATGTTACTTTCTTCTGGAAATATTTCTTCCTCATCCGTTCTTACCCCATTGTTATGATATCTCCTTACAGCTGAAGTGCCATAAATACTGGCCGGATGAGACCCAGGATTATGGAGACATATCAGTGATGCTTGTCAAGCAAGAACATTACTCAGACTACATTATAAGAACATTCAATTTGAAGCGGGTGAGTTGTTGTTGTCGTTGTTGCTGTCGTTGTTAGAGACCTTTAGATTCCGAGATCTACAAGTACAAGATTTTCACAATAATAAGAGGTACTAAATAGTGCTCACGCGTAAGCCAGCGTCATTTTGGCGGGAAACGTGATAGCCGTCGTCATGACGTACTAGTCGCAAGTCACGGAAACAAATTATCAAATATTAGACGTTTTATCATTTTGCGATCAGGAGATGGCTTGACCTCCTTCAATAAAGATAAACGTTATGACTTTTCTGGCGGAAGAAAAGTACAATCAAACCTTCCTTGGTGTCTGTTTTTTGAGAAGTCAAGTCCCGTACTCGTGGTCATTCTCTTCCTCAAATCTAAAGCTCTCTGTGATTACAGCTTTGTTCAGCTTTCTGCAATCCCGGCTTTTTTTTTCGCATGTTCTTGTTATTTGGTAGTGGTTGTCAATTTCTGTAAATGTTGCTGTTGCTGTTTTTGTAGCTTTTTTACTGCTTTTACTAGCTGTCGACAATGCTGCGGCTGTTTCGGATTTGGTGTTGTTGTCGCTTTAAAAGAACGCTGAAAACGAATGCTGCCTAATTTTGTTGAGCTAATGAAGTACAGGACGAAATTACGTAGCCTAAACGTACCTACTGATAATAACCATCATTTATATCAAGAATACTATGCGTAGGCGTTTATTAATGTGGTGTTTTTTGTTTGTTTGTTTGTTTGTTTTTTTTTGCATCAGGAAAGCGAGAAAGAAGAGCGAGAAGTGAAGCAGTTTCATTTTACTGTATGGCCTGATCATGGAGTTCCTGAATATCCAACTGCACTGCTAGCATTCAGAAGACGAGTCAGAAGATACAACCCCGCTGACGCTGGCCCCTTGATAGTGCACTGCAGGTAGGTTACAGACCTTAATAGGTGCCGGACAAAAATATTTGATTGTCGGTATACAGTCTGTATATTTTGATGCCCGGGTTTGGTACCCTCTAAGAAAGTATCTAGTCTTTTGCACTGTGCGTCAATATAGATAGCTTTCTTAAGCAGACTAATTTCCCCTCAGGTAGGTATCTGTATCTTGCCGGTTGCGGCCTCCTGTTGCTAATATGCCTGCCGCATTTTTGTGTCCATTTGAGGATAACACCACTCTATTTCGGAAAGCGACCTTTTGTCCACGGAATATCCAGCTAGGAGAGACTGCGAAGCCGGATTGTTCATTTGTCCTTCTTCCCATATTTCTAGAATGGGACGGTGAAGCGCTGTTTATTTTGGGGGAAGTATAGCTTTTCGAGCCCTCTGAATACTGGCGTTAATGGAGGTCAGTTAAGTCCTCAAAACGTTCAGCTCACGCCGCTCGTGTTGCAGATTACTCTCCAATTTACGCAATCTGTTGCTTTTGATTTTTGTGTATTGGTCTCCCTAAGATCCTCTGCTTTTGTTTTTAGTGCTGGTGTTGGGCGCACGGGTACTTTCATGGTAGTCGACAGTATGTTGGACCGGATAAAAGCGGAAAATACACTTGACATCTACAACTTTGTAGCGTACTTGAGAACGAGACGGACAGCCATGGTACAAACGGAGGTATGTACTGCGTTGTAGTACTTTTGAACCAGATGTTTAAGTTTAACATAACATAACGTAACATAGTATAAGTTCAACATAAACCAGGTGTAAGTTCAACACAACCAAGCATAACAAGATCATAACAAATACTATTACTTATTCCACTAAGGCCCCGACGATGGAAAAAGCTTCAGGGGCTACCGCTGACGAGCTTTTTAAAAATAAGAAAATTCGAAACCACTTCCCAGCAAATATAGTTCAATACAAAGAGATTTTAGCCCAAGAAATATGATAGTAGCTACTTTACCCGTTCGTTGAATTTCCAAAGGTGGAATAGCCCTTATGTTCTGCCTTTTTTTCCCATTTAACTCTTTTGGACGAAAATAATTAGAGCCAGTCTGTGGTTTGAAAGCGACGTTTTGACCCTCTCCTCCCCCTTTAGCCCCTCATAACCAAGGATGAATGCAAAATAAAAAGTAGTTAATCGAGCGATTTATTTCGTTGGTCTTTTGAGCGTCATTTTACTTCTCAGGAACAATACACATTTTGTCATGATGCCATTTTGGAAGCTGTACAGTGCGGCAATACACAGATATATGCACATGATTTGAGGATCACCTTGGCTCGTATGGATGACGCAAGCAAAGACTCTAAAGTAACACGATTTGAATCTGAGTTCAAGGTGAGCCATTTCAGGCCAGTTTTTACCTCCTCAGATGACATTAACGTGTGAATAATTTTGATAGCCAGGTCTTCTTGGTCTTCGAAATGTCGGTGGTGGGAATTGCGGAAGTATTTCGTTGTGGTATCGGTTAGGTCTCATGATGTCTTTTTTGCTTTTATTTCCCAGACACTCAATAAAGTCAGTCCTGTTTATAACAAAGCAAGTTATTCCGTTGCCTCATATCCTGAGAACAAGGAAAAGAACAGGACTCCGGAGATTTTAGCGCGTAGGTTTTTACTAACAGTAATGGGGAGCTTAAGGAACAGCGACAGCGACGGCTACAAAAACGTCACTTAAAAAGTGATTTCGCTCTGCGTCAAACGTGGGAAAATTTTTTTGGAGTTGAATTTTAAAGGACTTTTCTGAATTATCAAAGTTCAGGAAAAGAAAAATATAATTGTTGTCTTGTGTTCCCGTCCTCGACAAAACGTGAATTTAGGCACTTACACGTTGTAGTCGTGCAACAACGGCAAAGAAATGTACAAAAAAGCGTGATGCACGTGCAAAGTTGTTGTTTTGCCAATCTAAACCAATTGCTTTTTTGTCGTTCTCGTTGCCGTCGCCGTCGTCGTTGCTTAAGCTCCCTAATGACGAACTGAAGAGTGATGCAGCCATTTGCAAGATGATCGTGCATATAATGCATTTTACTGTGCTCTTAATCGTCAGTTCCTTTGATGATGACCAATTTTGCTGTTTATTGCTAGGAAAACTGACATAGGCGAAGGCACATATGTTACATTTGTATTTCTTACAAACGACAAACCTTCCTTCAATGTTTAAGTGATCATTGTTAAGTAGTAGCTGATTTGGCTAAATTGGGTGAAACAGGCATAATTACGATCAGCGTATCTGCCGTCAGCAATTTGGAATTATTTTAAAGGAAACAAAATAGAGCCAGTTCGGGTCCCGTGTAAAGTGTGACTTAATCCTCCTTAATGTTTTTTTTTATTATTATTTTTTGTTTGTTTGTTTACGTTTATACTTTTATCAAGAACACAAGAAATGTTGTGACGATTTTGTGGCAAAGCTTAACAACATGTTTTGAGGGGGGGTAAAGGAGCCACAACATCTTCACAATCAGTGACGTCAATGATCTGCCAATGTCGTGGTTCTTTTAACTAGGTCTAGATTAGAAACATTCAACAAAAAGCATCAAGACATGCAAACTGATATCAATTCCGATTATGATTTAAGTGCGGAAGGTTTGGGGTCCGTTTACTAGCACCGTACTCGCTGGTAAATCCAGTCCAAAATTTCCGTAAATTTGCGTGGCTCGCATTGTTGGCCTTATTAAGGCTGAAAGAAGATGGGAAAAAGAATACCATATTGTGTTTTTCTTGGCAGCTGACTTTTATCGTGTGGTGCTCACTGCAATTGATGACAATGAAGTCACCTCCTACATAAACGCCGTCCATATCCCGGTAAGTAGTGCCACTAAAAACCCGGCTGGAGGGGAATCCCATAGAACAGCAAAGTTATCTCCTACTTAAACACCGTCCATACCCCAGCAAGTAGTCACGCCAAAACCTGGAGAAGAGGGACGGGCTACACACAGTTCCCAACTTTTATATTGAAGTCAAATGCAAACCTTCTCATTTGAAAATGTTTCATTTCCAAACAACTAAAGAATATCACACCTGTTTTCAAAACAAAGTTTAGAGCAACACAGGAATGGCCTGTTAAAACCACAGTTACAGCACATGCAAAGTGACAATTTAATTAATTAGTTGATTAAAAAAAAGCAGCTTCTGCAGAAGAGCCTAAAAAATGTTCCTCAGAATAAATAAAAGATATTTTTGGTAAGTACAATTTAAGCAGATTATCTAGACCTTAAGTAATACAGATGCTACTGAACATTCCTTTTCCTATTTCAGGGTTACAAGCAGCAACATGCCTTCATTGTAACGCAACACCCCTTGACACCAACTGTGACGGACTTTTGGCGTATGCTCTGTGAGCAAGAGTGTAGCTGTGTAGTGCTCTTTGATTCCAGCGAGGAAGACGGGGTAAAACAAGATTATTGATTTCGATATTCTCTTGTAATGTTTCCATAAAACTCTTTCTTCTGTCATATTTCTTCTAGCACTCCGGCGTTAAAAAGAGAGCAAATAATTGATTAAGTAAAGCTTATGATAAGTTACACTTCTGCAGGATTTCCCTCTGTTTTGGCCTGAAGAAGAGTCAACTTACGATGACATGATAACAGTTCAGCGGCTTCATGCGTCCGCCACCAGCAGTAGCGTTGACAACCTGAAAGCGAATTACGACCAAACAGAGATCAACGAGAAGTCTTTCAAAGGTCAACGATTTAATAAAAGAAAAGTCTTTCTTTAAATGGGTAAAAGCCAACTGATCTAGTGAGGGACTTTAAGATTGGCGACTACGGTACCGACGGTTGAAACTCAGCCACCGTCGGGATTTAATAAAATGAAAAAGAATCGAGGTTTTTACTGTACAAGCCAAGAAGGACGTTTAAGCAAGAAGTTGACGTAGATCTTACGTTTAAATGCAAAGTTATTAAATGGAGCTTGGAGATTGCCGTTGTGATTAAAAAACCTTTTTCTTTCTCTTTTTTGAAAGAAATGCCCTTCAAATCGACGGGTAAGTCGAAGAAGACGCCCGGGAAGACGGTCTAAAATCGGCAGCATGCAATCCGGATAAATAGCATCGTGCAAAACAAATTCATCTGAATTCCATGAACTTTTTGAAAGACATCTTCAAAGTGAATTCGAGCGCAGCAAGGTTTGACGCTGAAAGTTAATCAACCAAAATATTCACAGTTCTTTTGACCGATGTTACAAAATGTTTGCCCATCGTCGTATTGTTTGTCCGACGAGGTCACATATTTTCCTTTACCTAAGCAACCGTCTACTGGCGATGGTAAAGGTCCCATGCCCCTAAGACCTCCCCTTTTCTTGTGTCTGAGGTTGTCATTTCTGAGTGAACATGCTTTCGCCATTTTTGGATTCCCCATATTCAGAGAACACTGCCGGAGTTGTCGCGCTTGTTTCGCCAACGTTAAAGTTAAGGCGATGTTTCAGGGTTTAGAGAACGCTTTTTGAACGTTGCTTGTTGTTTCAGGCTTTCGTGACTTTCCTGTTTTGCTTGCGTGTTTTTCAATATCAAGACATAGTTTTTCTTCTCTTTTGTCGATACCTTAAAAGACGCCAGAAAAGAGTTTGCGAATAAAGATGTTTCAGTACAGCGGTTGGGTAGATGAGACAGACGTGCCTCCTTGTTCAGGCCTTATCTCCCTTATCGCCAAAGTGGAACGATGGCAGCAGCATTCTGGGAACGGTCCTATCACTGTAGTGTGCAGGTCGGTGAAATATATATTTTGGCATGCACTATTTTGTTATTATGCACTTGATCATCATTAAAAGTAATCACGACTGGCAACTTAGGTTGTTTTAGAATCCGTCTGCCATTTTGCGCCTCAAAACTAGCACCAGAAATAACAAAAATAATAGTAAACAAACAAAAACAAAACACTTCCTTCAACCCGTAGAGTTGCTTGACAAAATGGCCAAAAGAAACCAAATTTAAAAAATTCGTCCATTGGTACATACCGTACATTTCTGACAGTATGAAACAAGTAGAAAAACAAAATTGACGGACGAAATGTGAAAAGGGTCTTTGTGTTTGGTTTTTTGTTGTTTTCCTGTAGTGGTTCTTATAATTTTTTTTCGTATTCTAACTTTCCTATTATAGTGACGGTCTTGGCCGCAGTGGAACATTCTGTGCGTTATACTCGGTGTTGGAGCGTCTTAAGATCGAACAGGTTGTGGATGTGTTTCAAGCTATAAAAGCAATGAGAATTCCTCGTCCTGGATTAGTGAAGACAACGGTAGGTAAATGGCATCGCCGTGCTAAGATGCTGCGTTTTACTTTTTGCTGTCTACCGACGTTTAACATGGTATAACTGTATGAAAATTAGAGTTGAAGTAAGTATTCCTCCGTGCTGGAGACGAAACCGCAGTTTCTACGTGGTTATCTAAGCCACGCCAAAGCCTATGAAAGCAGTTAGTACCTTCTTCAGTTGTTCAAGACTATTGATTTTATAGTCCTTTGGTGTGTCCTTAGGAAAAAACTCCTCAAAATCCGGCTGTCTAGACAAGAGCTTCAACAATAATGCTGTTGTTTTATCGTAGTGGAACTCTTCTCCTCGTAGAATTACGTTCCCTTTAAACTTGTTAATATTTATTATTATTTTTTTTTCTTTTCAGGCCGAATATCGATTCATCCACTATGCAATCCTAGAATACTTATCAGCCTTCGACGACTACGCAAACTTTAAGCCTTAAAAATGGCGTCAGCGAAGAATCTGACGGCAAAAATCTACTTCAGATTTATGGGCAATAGTATTCAACCGACAAATTAGAGACTAACACACTAACGGACTGTCAGTCTGACCTTTTCCATTTTACCACTTTCTTTTGTTAACTCTACTGAAGGATTAAATTGGTTTATTCTCACTAGAATTCAGCTCCGGAATTTGGTTTCGATATAATTATACTCAAGTAACTTTTAACTATTACTTCATTATACTTGCTGCTGAACTGGTAGGACGAAGCGTATCTTGTTGTTTTGACGTGGGCCAATCCTCTCAGATTGTCCTGTGTGGTCCCTTTTGCTAGTTTTATTGACTAAGCTTAAAGGTTACAAAGAGAAATTTCATCCGAATAAGTTGAGACTTTGGGTTGATGATTGTAACGAGCTCTGTTAGGTAGTGATAGGTAATTCCCAAGTTGGTCAAACACGAAGAAATTATATGACGCCAATATTTTGACAAATTACTAGCCTAAATAATGAATCAACACCAACAACAGAACACAGAAAAATCACAGAGCATTTCGACGTTACCAGGTTGTCTTGTCAGTAGGGTGATTGATCGTCCTTAATGCGACCAGTTTTAAGCCTCGTATGCAGTTAAGAGAACCAGGCCCCCCACCACCTTGCTTAGTGTTGTAAACGGTCACAAGATGAAGGTCACGTGACCGTTAAAGCCACATATCAGATGAAGACGGTGTGATAACGTCCAAGTGTTTTGTTCCTTATAAATACTTTGCTCTGAGTCTGTATTTTTTCATTATTTATCTTCTTCTCGGTAAAGTTAATGTCTTTCTGTTTTAAACAAGAAAGGAAAAAAATAAATAAATAAAATTAGTGTAGGTAGAAAAATTTTCAGAATATAAAGTGTTAACAATAATTGTATAAAATAAAAAACGTAAAAGTGTACCATACTAGAATAAGGTAAAGTTTAATGTGCGATGGTTTAAGTAGAAAATATTACTATTGTCTAGTTAAGTTGTCAATTAGTCTATATTTACTTATGAATTTAGTGACGAATTCAATGTACAGTACATTGATACAAAATTATGAAATATTTAATTGTGATTTATAAGGAGAGTATTGATTTATTCCATTCGTAGTGAAATATTTTGAAATTGGAATCAGATGCTATATAAATTAGTACAGAGGGAAAAAAATCAGTTAAATAGTTTCCCTTCTTAAGCGATCACGGGATCACGTTTTACCGGTTATTTCGTTTCTTAACATAAACTGTATGCAGAATTTATCCAGTTCTTTGTCCAATATTAGCAAAAAAAATGGTTAAAACCGAATTTTCTTTCTCATAGTTGACTGACAATTCAAAAGCCAAAGGCATAAAAATTGACAAGCAACAACGTGTTAGGTTATCCGATACGTGCCTATCGTTTCCTTTGAAATGTTTTCCTTTGTCTAGGGAGATCAAACACTCATTTCTGCGCTTGGTGTTCAATATGTGTGTGAAATTGCTGGGTGTCCAGTCTGATTTATTACTTAGTTATCGAAGTGAAATGCATGAAGTAGCTCATTTCCAATCTAATAAGACAACGTAGAAAAATGTCCCTTTTTGTGGGCTCTTTATCACCAGTGTAATCATAGATGGTTCATCCTTTAACAGTGCAGTGTTTCCGTTGCAGAGCAACCAGATAAAGATATTTAGAATGTATTAATAGTCTATCTGCTTTTGTAATAAAAACGTAACTATAAATAAATTGATTACGCAGGAGAACTGATATCTTTTTTTATCAGTCCCACACAAGCACCCCTCCCTACCCCTGATGCAGTCCGCTCCTCTGATTTGTCCGCTGTTTTCAAGGTCCCGTATATAGCTCAATACAAGTCTGAATTCTAGTCCAACGTCATATTGTGGACAATGCCATTAACATCTACCAAAGGAGGCTGTTATGACACAATCGCACTAAAAAACTCTTCATCAAACCCAGTATAGTCTAGAGAAATAAAAGGAGGGGGGGATAAAATTGGAAATCACAACTGCAAGCAGTCATATTTAGTCTGAGTACTTATATTTAAGCGGTACAAAATCAAATTGCGAATCGTTTCACGACTATGAACGTTTTACTGCAATGAGTTCTATCCTCGCAATAAACACCGCTTTTTACATTGACATCTCCATTAACAGAACTAACCAATCTTTAGGAATACATAAATCTAATCAGTTTAGGTCTGAGTCATCACAGATCAAAAGGTGCTGCATACAGTTTGGGCGGCCAGTTGTGATCTCTTACTATTTTCAAACTTAACCTGCGAAAACAATTAGCCGTTTTTAGTGTCGTCACGCAACGCTTCTCCTCTTACAGAAGATTTACAAGTAAAGCATTGAGATAAGTGCGAGAAGTTTTAATTTAATCAACAGTAATAGTAATAATAATAATAACAATAATAGTTAAAGAGGGGGTCCAACTCGCGAAGACAGAGAAATGTTTAAGTTGCTAGGCAATGAATTACAATCGATGACGCCAGCTGACTGATCGTCTGCTAGATGAACGCTTGTGAGAACTGACAGAAGTTTGAAGGGTGTCACAGATATCAATTAACGGCTTCTTAAAATGTAAAAGTGGGAACATAACAACATCGAGCCGAAGAGCCGTCAGATTTAAAATTTTTAACTTTGGACGTACGTGTTATCTGTGTGCAATGCCGGCGTTGATGCTCTAGCTGAGTAAAGGTCGCTAGCTGTGGATTAAGATTTAGATTTAAATTTTTCACCGTGCAGAAGAAGCAACCAAGGATTTAACGGAAAGCAGCGACTGCTTGAGCGAGACGAAATACTAGATCAGACGTCTAAAACACAGATATTAAGAGCAATCGATTTATGCTGCAGCACTGAGGAAAACAACGAAGGCTGAAGGTAGTATCCCGTCTACTATAACATCTTGGTTCTGGCTGTTACGAACGTAATTTGTAGGAAATAAAAAGAATATTGCTGTTTCCGCGTTTACAAGATAAATTTTAATACAATCAATTCTATACTTAAGTCGCCACACTTTTTATTAATGCTCGTCGTGAGCCCTGTACAGTGTACTACGTAAGTGAACAAGACATCTCAAGGCGGTATGCCATTTCCAATTTCTTATGAAGACATCTTCGGGATGGCAAGTAAGGGTAGAAAGTTTCAGGCCTGGACTCCCTTCTTACGCCACCTTTTTCTTATGCATAATATATGGTCTGAATGTTTAGTGTTATTAATGTTTCTTACGCTAGGTTATAATAGTTTCTTTGAAGATGCACTTGGGTCCGGAAATTAAAAAGTCTTTATCTAGAGGGGAGTATCTTGACGCTACTTTATCATATATATGTTTGAGTTAATGCTGATGAATTGATTAAGAAAGGAAATATAAATGAAATTTATTTAACTTTATGTGAAAGATTAGAATCCACCCAACTGTGCAGTTTTATTATTTTGGTGGGTTTAGTTTTCCGCTATCCGGTTGATATCATGCAAACGATTTATCATATTTGACTGCTGTTTCTGCTGCATTTGGTAAAACGTAGCCTTACGCTTTTAAGTTGGTTTGCTTCATCTAACGTAATTTCTCTGTATCCGTCTTTCATCCTTTATAGTTTATATGATTTTTTCTTTGATATTTTTTTTTCTGCAAACAGATCTGATTTTGATGTTCTTTTTATTGGTTTGGAGATGATTATGAGCCCCACTGGAGGTTGATTAATTTGTTCTGGAGAACTTTCAAGAATGTCTATAACAATGGACGCGCGTGGCAAAATTCAATCCGATGTTAAAACCTGTTACCACCTACAAATTGCATAGCAAATGTCCTACAGCTTTGTAGAACACTATAAATTTTCAGAAAAATTCTTAACTCGTTTTTTTTTTTTCTTTAAAGGTAGCATAATTACATCTTTTTCAAAGGACGGCTGGTTTAACTAATTTGGTTTATTATCTTTAAATGTCAGTGTTACTGCTAAAAATTCTACGTATAGAGTTCATCAGAATGACTGTGCTTCTTATTAATAGTTAATTTAATTATTGAAATGGTTTCTTGTGAGTCCTGGGAGTGACAAAAAAATGTAAGCAATAAATAAATGAATTTCAACAGGACCTTATTACAGATGCTTAATCAGCGCGTGTCCCAGTGACTGTGCAGAACTGACATCTTTCACCATCGCCATCTAAAGTTGGGTAAAGCCTCACTCTCATGTAAAGGTAAGTTGTATAATCCTACCATTAAAAGAAAAAAATATGTTTCGTCATTTAAAATCGATCACCATACTTCAGGAGAATTAAACCTCGCGTGGTGTCCTTAATGTGGATTCAGGGTTGAGAAAACGAAGTGCAGTTCGAAGACTTCTAAGTTGTTATTCAACATTGAGATATCTGGATGTAGGATAAAACAAATAAAATAATGTTTTGAGTGACTGATTTTCATTTCAAAAGATATTTCAACTTCGCTACAACCTCGGCAACTATGTGCAAGGAGCGGGGAGGGGGAGGGTTATCAATTTATTAAGAAATCGTTACCTGCGTGTCGTATAAATAAACTAACATCGATGCAACTGTGCCAATAAATGATATCACCTATAGTCCCTGTTACGCCCCTGTTACATTTGAGGACTTCAGTTATAACGTTTTGACCAATGATTACATTTGTGGCTTCAGAAGTCTTCCTCTTAATTACAGGAGAAACGTACATGATAAGCAATGGCTCTGTATGGGCCGCTTACCCAATTCTCAGCTGTCCAACTGAATTCTGTGGTCCTGTTCTCCTTTCTACTGGCTTTTATCGCTGATCCATCTGATGTTGATAGCCATGGTCATACAGCTATGTTTTACAGCGTAAAAGAAGCATCCTTAATAGGTAACGTTACTGTGGTAAAACAGACAACTAGTGATGTGGAATGTGCTTTTTTATGTTTGCGGATGTATCCAGGCAGCTGCTTTTCTTTTAACTTTGGTCGGACAGTAACTCTCACTAAACTACATGATTGTGAGCTAAGCAACTCCGAAGGAGCTTTAAAGCCACATAAGATGTACAGCAGGAGAGGATTTGATTATTTTGGTATGGAAAGCGTGGTAAGTTTTAACAGAAATCGGTATATCAAAGCCATCCCCCTAGTTCTCTTCTGCTACTTTTTTAACCAAGTTAATGAGATAATTAACTGCTCTTCATCCTCCAATTTTGTTATCAGGCAAGCATTACTTTCAATTTTACCGAACTTATCGATTCTGAGAACAATTGTCACTCGTTTCAAATGCTTTCTTCTCGTCTTTGACTTCTTTTTAACTCTATAACTGGCAGGAAAACCAACTTGCAATGGTGATAAGGCAACTCAGTCTTTCTTGTAACTCTCTTTCAGTGAGCCAATCCCGTTTTTTTATAACATCTTGGGAAAAGCAAATTAGTTCAAATTATTCATAGTGGAAAATTTGAAAAAATGGTGATAAACTAACAATGTTTACATGGGTTTGTTCGAATTATTGGGAATTTCGAAAACCTGCGAGGATTCGAGAAATCGGGGGTCTACTGTACAACATCTTTCTATATCTTTATAAAAATATGATAAAAATAGTTTATTTATTGATATTTTGTCATCATTACTATAATTTCAATTCACTGAGTTTTGAACTCTCGGGTTTTAGGATAAAAGATTTTAGAATTTTTTACTTAGATATGTATGATAAAGAAGACATACATCAACGACCCTGTTAAGAATTTATTAGGATAAACCGTAGAACTGATACTTCTGTCCGTTGAAATTTCTGTATTAAAGTTCCTGTCTTCTTAGTATCTTGCCAGATATTTTCCTTGCTTGTCATCCCCATGTCAAAATGGTGGATCATGCGTGAACGGCCCCGCCTTGAAAGAGTTTTCATGCACTTGTCCTCTGAAAATTCAAGCCATGCCTTACATTGACAACAAGTGCAATATTAGTAAGTTTTAGAGACATCTTTAAATGCTTTTGTTGTTGTTGTTGATGTTGTATCCCCCGCCCCCGACCTTAATTTCTTGGTGATTGCATGTTATGATGGCTCATCCCTACAGTGTATCGATCGTATATAGAGTGCTGAGCGCTCCACAAAATTTTGCGAGAAAATGAAACCCTCTACGTTCGTTCATTCCTTTAAATTGCAGTGTTAACTTGCGGGTGTCTTTCAAGCGGGGTGTGACTGGAATTCTTCCTTTATTAATGAATACTTTCTGCTTAATTCTAAATTAATAATCATCGTCAGTTCTAAGTAACGAAAGAAATACAAGTAACATTAATATGTACGACAATTTTAATTCAAAAAATCAAGTTATTCTTTGCGGTTTCTAGATCGTTCCCTTATAACAACTGAAGCACATTTCCATAGTCTTTTCCATGCAAAAGTGGGTCGATATAAGTTAAACTATTTCGAGGCTGAAAGACTCTGTGAAATACTTGGTGCTTCGTTAGCCTCTTGGGGTCAACTGACTGTTGCATGGCAAGGTGGACTTCAACTTTGCCAGTAAGTACAATCATTTTTTAGTTTTACAAATTTAAGCAACGTCTTCTAATGTCATCTTAGGGAGCTCCGAAAGGTCAGAAGTGACTAAGTAGTTTGGATGAGGCTAAGTATGATATTTAACAATTATTGAATGAGGCTTAAGGGTATGGTATAACGAATTATGCAGATCGAGGAAATTTAATGCAGTTATCGGCCGAGTGCCATCCTCGTAAAACACAGTACAGGACAGTGATGCCTGCGTACGAGGCTAGTACCCATCTGTAATATTCAGTCTAAATGTTGTCTTTTATTGTTTCATGCCTTATTTTATCTGCTTCTTGCACTTCTGGATGCTTGCGGATACTTGTACGTTTCTTTTTGCTCAAGATTTTTTGTTTCTTGAGACTCCATCAGACATATTCCGTCACTCTGGATTTCCCTCCTTTTATGACTAATAGTGCACATTTGTTGTCCCAAACTCCATTCCAGTTATTACTATTATTATTATCATGATTATCATTATTTATTATCACATATAATTATATGAAACAAGACAAAAATATAAATTGACAAATAATTAGCAATTATTGGACGAGGCTGAGCAAATATCGTGATTTGTCAGTGGCAAGCAGATCAATTGATCTGCGAGACACTGACAAATCACGATATTTTGCGATAACCGAGTTCAATAATTGTTTTATCATTCGATCACCGAGTGTTTCTTTTAATGGATATCCTCGGGAAGCGAAGTGATCTACCATTTTCACGCAAGAGGGATCGCAAGAAGGAGAAAACCACGGTTTCCTTTACGCATGTGTAGAAAATTATTTGCAGCCAAACACAGTTGGACGGCATTGCGAATGAGCACACCATTATTTGTAGGCAGTTGTTTGCAGGTCACGTGGTGGGCTCTCGGCCAATGAAAAGGAAGAAACATTTGCATCGAATGATAATAATCATTATTATTAACTAATTATTATCATTATTGATAAAGTCCTTCTCCTTATCATTACTGTTATTTAATATTAACATTGATCTTGTTGTTTTAATCTTTCTCCACATAGAAAGGGTTGGCTAAATGGGGCCATAGTTGCTTATCCTATGCGAGAAGTGAAAGGAAACTGTGGGAACAAAACAGGAATCGTAGAGATCGATTACGAACGCAATAGGACAGAAAAGCCATTCAACGCCTGGTGCTACAAACCTTAAAAGAGCAGTGTTTCACGAAATTTTATTACGTTTATTGATCCATCCAAACATTGATAGCTGCCACAAAATATAAGTGAAACATAAAAATAACGACTTAAAAAATTATGAAACAGCAAATACAAGAAGAGACACTAATGGACAAACTTAACGAACATCTGAAAATGGAAGCAATATTATTGTGGTTGTTTCAAGCCCTGTTAGCCTAATAACAAAGTGCACTGATCCACTACCAGGTTTTTGTTGTTTTTATGCGTTTGATTATAATGCTTTGAAAGAGATATTTGTTTGAGTACCATTAAAAGTTCGTCTGCGAATAAAGACGAGTTATTGGCGATATCAACCTAAATATTTATGGAAAATTAAAAGAATTTAAAGTTATTCTGCATTATTTCGGGTTCAAAGGACCGATCGATGTAGATAAGAGACAGTCAGTAGACACCACAGAGATACAGAAATGGATCGCGCTAGCTGTAAAATTTAGTGGAGATTTTTAAGAAATCAACAGAGGCCCACGCTCGAGCGGACTGCATGATATATGAAGTATGGTCGATTTAATTTAATCAGCGAAAGAATACATTTATATGGAACATAAACGGGAGCGATCTCTGCACCGAACGTCGTCCTATTCTAGAGACTAGACGTTGGATATATATTTTAGAAAAAAAGAGGAACTAACTATGATTTCTGATCACCTTGCTGGTCACATAAAAAAGACGGCGATCGCACAAATAGCCCATCACGCAGACGTTCTTAGGGGTTCGTCACGCGTTCCTGGTGTAGGAACGCTTGACGAACCCCTGAGAGGCTACCCGCCACCAAAATTAACAAAATTACACAATTACGGCCACAAAATACCAAGATGGTTTACACAAGCAGATAAAAGTACTGAACAACAAGACTCACACACTTCTGCTCAAATTAGCGATCTATAGCAAGATTTGCCTAGTTTTTTATCTTTACCCCGAACTCTTTTGTAGTGTCCCTTGTATTAAGGCTATGTTCACGCTATACCCGATAGCTCTTGCCGCGGAATAGCACTTCTGCTCATCACACATAGAAAAAACAGTGATTTTGGCGAAATTTTGTGCATTATTCGGTATTCGGACCGTATCTCAAATGAATAAGTAGGACCGAGGACTGGAATCCACCTAGACGGAAGTAAACATTTAGTAGTGAGGAAGGGGATTTATAGAACCAAACAGTCTGGGCCGGCCGGCCAGCCAACCCCTCTGCGCGCGGCACGATATTTGATGTTTGTGAACAACTTATTCCTGACCAGTTCTGTGCGGTTGCTGTCCATTTACCGGATATTTTTTCGTTTCGAAACGAATAGCTATCACGGTATAGTGTGCCGGCATAGCCTAAACGCAAAAGGTACACGTGACGACATTCACTGCGAATAGTACTTACGGATTACGGATGATAACTGTAAGAGGCAGTCAAAGACTGCGTCAGGACAGACGATTTTGTAAATACCATGCATGTTAACGGCTCTTTGAATAAAATAAAATAAAATAAAAAAGGCATGGACAAACGCGAACCCTAAGTTTTGAACTTCGCTTTTATTGAATTCATTGTAATATACATAACTCAAGGGCGGATTTGCGGAGCACTCAACTGTAAAATGGCCTAATAATTTTTAAGGAATCACTAAATATTAAAAACTGGCTATTGCTGCTTTGAATTTCAGTTGTCATTAAGCCTCGCGTAAACGGATGCAACATTGTTGGGAGTTGTTGCGTTCGTTTGCACGTAACTAAAAGTTTGATTAATTCAAACTTTGCGCAACAACTTTTCACGGAGTTCTAGCATGATGAAGATATGCTAATGAGGACAATGTTTAACTAAACATGGAAAAGCAATTGAAACAGAAGACCTGCCATCATAAATACTGAATGAAAACCTATCTATAATTATAACTTCGCACACTAAATATTACAAAAAGAAAATTACCCTTTATGCCTCATTTCTTTTGTCAGTAAAACGCCTTGAGTCAAGTCTTTAGCTAAAATATTATGACTAATTTATACACTTTGGCTTTCTGTTGGTGTTAATTACGGATGGAGCGATTTTTAATTAAAAGCCTCGATAAATACACTTACCTGAGCAAAAAAACCTATTTTTACTGTCTCTCTAAAAGAGAAATAAGTTATGATATGTTTTATTCTCTAGTAGACTAATAGGCCGTATTCACTAGTGCATTGAACTGTCTTATACTATGCATAATTATTATAAATAAATTATTAAAACCTCTTACACCCTTAATCAACAAGAAGCTAAGGCTTTTCAAAAGGAAATTCTGAAAATGAAACTTCTGGTAACTGATCGATTTAGTAGAGACTAGACTAGCTACCGCGTGATCTGTATTGCGGAACGAAGATTTATTACAGGTATGAATAGGAATTAAGTTAGCTTCGTTTAGTTGGCTTTTCGTTTTCCTTGTTTAAAAAACCTTGCTTTAATGAAGTGAGATCTAAACTCTACCAATGATGCAAAAATGTGATTCAGTCTGAGACTGTTTTCGTTGTTTAAAATGTCCACTAGATGTACCACTTTGGTTACAGTCTCCACGACTGTAGCTATCCTCATCATGACTCCCAAACACAACTTACGATACATTTGTATGGAATAGCAAGCTTGGATCACCGTGCGAAAGAGAAAGATCGCCATATTCATCATTGCAGGAGTGTAAGGGTCTCCTATCGAGTTAAATTACTTCAATCTTTAAACACTTCTTTAACCCTTCCTTTATACATGTATGCAACACGCGATTATATTTCAACTATAGCTCGGGCTAGCGCCTTGTTCAAAAGAGCCGAAACAATTATTACACAGTCTCACATCTAGTAAGTAGAACATTTTCTTTTTTAATGTTTAAAGGTTAAGACGGTCAAGAGAATTCGTAATAGTTGCTGATTTTGTCAAACGCTAAAAACACAAGTCAAAACCGACATGGGAAGCCTTAAGGCGGGCTGAATTCCAAAGATCCCCAGATAGGAACAGATGACCTAGATAGGAACAGATAACGTTATAGATTTTCACGTTACGTCATCGCCGCCATGCTGGTGGACGGTAAATAAAAGATTGCTCATTAGCTCGTTTTGTTTGTCCACCAGCATTTGTTCATTTCACCATTGTTATTTGTGTCTCCCGAGACTGCATGAAAACCACCTATAACCAGTCGTTGATCAGGCATGATTTTGTTTTGTTTTTGTTGTTGTTGCCTTATTTTTTTTTTTACACAAAAGTCACAGTGTTTATGAAGGAGCTTCCTTTAAGCTTTGCTTTTTAACATAAATATTGCTGTAATGCCCATTTAGAAATATTCGTTCAATAGCGGTTGAGTTAGTATTCCGGAGGAAAGAATCCGGGACGTTCTTGAACTAAGCCCTCTCTCTCGGCATAGTTGTTTGTAATTAATCAATTCTGCAAATATTAGGCTTAAAGATGCTTCAAGATACAAAATTAAACCACATATATACCGTAGCATAAATTCGCGCTAAACTTGTGTCAGTTCGTGCTCCATCGAAACAAAAAGTAAAGCATTACGGGCTTCTGATATCCAAAGAACAACTGCTTATTTTTCGATCTATCATTTACTTCACAGTTATCTCGTGGGGAAACATCTGCTTCCAAAAAAACATGTTATTCGTCAAGCTTGTTGAGGTATTGGTAAAATTGTCCATGGTCGCGCCCTTGTTTGCTGTTGGTCAGCGGTACACTACACAGGATCGAAAGTTTTACAAATTGCAGAGCAAATCACTGCTTGGAAATGTGACGATAGTGAGTCAGGTCAAAGATCACTACGATTGCTCGTTTATGTGTGTAAAATATGGCCATTTAACCTGCTTGTCATTTAACTTCAACACCACCGTGAACGAGGACGGTTTTCATTTTTGTGAATTAAGTAATTCTGAAAGATATTTAGAGCCGCAAAAGACACAAGAAATGCCCGGAAACGACTACTATGGGACCGCAACTGAAGTAAGTCATGTTGAAACTTGTAAATATAGGACTAATACTGTTTATGGCCTTCAAATAGACAACAAATCTTGATTATTTGGTCAGCACAAAATGTTTGGATAAGCCCTGAAAAAGATGCAAAGACGCCAACTGGAAAAGAGTAAATTTTGACCGAGAAATGAAATATAACGTTTTGACCGGAAAAAGTCATCATCATCATCATCATGTCTTTTTTTGCAATCCGGATTTTAGAGTAGCATTTCTGCTAGTATCTCCGAAAGAGAAGTATAGTAAGAAATAAATTGGAAGAAAAATACAAATAGTACAATTAAAATAAATGCTCTTTAGACATCAACTAAACTTTAAAAAGGCTAACTGCTTTATGCATAGTTTGAAGGTATCCAGATCAGGAACGCGTCTTGTTTCATCGGGCAGGGAGTATCAGGTGGAAATAGCTAATTATTTCCCCTCCCTCCCCACCCCCTAAAAATAACAGTATTGATCCAAAGTTAGGAATAATTGCTGATATGTTGACATTTTTTCTCTTAGTTTCTTTTCAGTTTTTGGCCATGTCTTAGCAGTCCATGTAACTACGGAGGGACATGCACCAATGGTCCAGGAGAGGGTGAATTTTCCTGTCAGTGTAAACCTGAAGTATCCGTCCGTCCATTTATTGACGACGCCTGTAATATCGGTAGGTTACTTAGTGTTAAAGCCTATTTGATATATTAGTATTTATATTCTGCCATAGAGAATACGGCCAATCAGAAAGCTAGCAACCCGATGCATATTCTGCGGTATGCAACGCCGCGGGTAGTATTTCATGAAACAAATCCCGGCGATACTTGCGGACTTCACATTTTCACGCCGAAAAGAGAGCGGGAAGGGACAGGGGAATTTGATTTTTGTTTTCTTACTACCAAAAAATTTCCAGAAGAAAGTTTGTAATTATATAAACAATACTATAAAACCGGAGAACTAACTACCATTCACACTTAAAGTTAAACTGTAACACGCGACGAAATCAAACAGACCATAACGGACAAAGAAGTTTAAACTCACCGAGAGCAACAGGAACAAACCGGTTAACTAGTGTTGCGAAGACCGAGATGGACCCACACCTGTACTTCGAAATAACAACTCTTACTATAAAGAAAACATTCAGAGACATTCGACAGCTTTTTGCCTTTTTCTTCAGTATGCAGTTAAAGGTGAGACAAAGGTGAATACGAACTTTATTCATTGACAAGCTGTGGATCAATTGGACATTGCTGTTAACAAACTAGATAGATAAATAGATAGACTACTTGTAAATGTGACTTTCTTTGAGTCTTTAAAATGTGATACGTGTTTCTTATTTTACGTCGCCATGTTGAGTGGCATGGAATAAAAAGGCTCGTGTGTATACAAAGAAAAATCAAGGCGCTGGTGGAATATTTCACAGTATAGCATACCAGACGAAAGCATTAAATAACTAGTATATTCAGCAATATTATTGAATGCGGCTGAGCATGAGGAAGAATTACGTAGATCGAGGAGGATGTTATCCAACTTGGCCTTCAGCCTCGGTGGACAAATTCCTTCGAGATCTGCAAAATTCTTCACATCATATGAAAACCGAATTTAATAAATGTTTTATTGTTCATTGGAAATATTTCTATTGGTTTTTCAAAAGCTTTCCGTTAACTTTCTTCTAAACGTTCTCGGCACGATTTCAGGATATAACTGATATTTTTCCTTGCAAATATTCATCAAACCAGATAACATCTATTAAGCAATATGTTTTTCGAATTCTTGCAGATTTCCTTCATTCAGTTTTAGTTCACTCGTGAATAAAGAGCCAGGTGGGAGTGCCTGGAAACGAGGTTGATTGATGGGTATATTGTAATTTGGTTATGAAAAATTAGCTGGGGGATTAGAGCCAATCAGAGAAGGACGAAATATTTCTAAAGAATAGAAAACACAATCTGATTGATCTGGCATGACTCGGACTATTCAGCAAAATTCATCTCCTAACGAGTTCCTCGATAATGGGTGCGGCTTGGTGTGTTGCCAATTAAAGAACTCTTGAAAATCCTACGGTTGATGGTTTTAAAGGTAGGAAAAGGCTTCAAAGTTATCAAAACCCTTTTTTTCGATCGACTTTAGCAGAACTCTGCGCTCTATGGAATGTTTAGAACTTGAACTACAGTTTATGTAAATAAAAGAGACTAAGACTAATTTTGTCCAGAAATCGAAGTTAATTTAAGACAAAAGAAAATGAAAGCGAATGTTAGCAAAAAATCTACATTCCATGTACACAGGACAAAGGATACTTTAGAACAAATTGGCACCTAACCTTGAGCAATCTATGTCGCTATTGTCAGCCTTTGCGAAGTTGGCGTCAGTTTACAGACGAAAACAGAGCTCTACATTTCTTCTCGTGATCAGGAGGAGACGAAATTTAAACTTTTGACTATTCCTCTTAACCTATTACCTTATTGTTTAGGAGAATTAAAACTGCGAATTTTTCATGTTTGAAAGATTTAACTTTGCGCATGTTTTGTTTACCACTACACGCGCTAATTTGATCCGTCAATCACATTGCACTTTCTGATTCTGTCGAAATCACCTCTTATGTATACATATATACCAAAATAGTTATTCTTTCCAATCTAGGAAGGTAAATAGTGGAGTGCCTTAGGAATATTTACTTTGATTTCAACAATAATTGTTGGATTCATCTTTCTGATTGGCTCAAATCCCCCAGCTAGCATTGACTAAATAAGTAGGACGTTTACGATATCCAGTAGAATAACACAACGGACGAGGCTGAGTTGACTCAGCTGTTTTTTGGTAGATCGAAGAAGAAATAGCCGAACTACAGCCTAAAGACATGTTGTTATTTAACATCTTATTTAAGTAAGAATATCTGCTATTCAAGTGAGAATAGCTGCTAGAATCCATAACCCATATATCTTGAATTTGCCCAGGAACATGCAAATGAAGACGTAAACTTAACACCCATCGAGGTAAGCTCGTGTGTGTGATGATTTCCATCTTCACACAATACACTTTGGAGAACACACAAAACGAAGTATAATGATTAAAGAGAGATTAAACGTCACTTTTATGGCAAACAAGAACAAGATTTAGAATAACAATAAAGATAAAAATAACACTGAGAATGAATATGAGAATAAAAATAAGAATAAAATAATAATAGTAATAATAATAATAATAATAATAATAATAAAAACAAGAAGAAGAAAACTTAAGGTAGAAGAAGAACAAGGAAGATGAATAAGAATAAGAGGAACAAAAGAATGAGAACAAGAGAAAGAAAAAAAAGGGAAAATGATTTTAAAAAAGATCGAGATGAAAATAATTACTTCTTTACTGAAAAACTAAAGCTACAATGTATGATGGTGAGCTGGGACTGGGCCGGGTGGGTGTTGAAGTAATAAAGCCCTGGGTTTATATAAATTTAACCAATAGTATGTTATTTTTTGTCATTTTTTCCAGATCTAACTGACGTGTATTTTAATCCTGTGCCTCAGCACACAAATCTATATATTGCAAGCGTTGAGAGATACCGACTAATTATCATGATGCCCAAAGGTTTTGTGAGCTCCATAGGGCAACATTAGCAACACAAGCTCAGCTTCTACAAGCCTGGAATAATGGATTTGAACACTGCGCGTAAGTTTTTTTCATGAACCCTTTCATTGAGACTGGTTATTAAGAGGTCGTTCATTTTGCGAATGGAAATTTTTGTCCGTTAAGAATGAGTTAAGGTTTGACAGTGATAATTGTAGAAAACTATTACAAGATTCATTTGCATAAGCCGAGGGGGCGATTCCGTGTCTATCCAATCTTGTTTATTGGGGTTAGCTGTTTACTCGTTTAGTTGGCTTGCTGAATCGAAAACACCACCGTAAATTAAGGTTTTCATGCGCACCTCATTATTTCGTAGATGCTCGTGAAGGAGAAAGGGGTAAAGGAGGAAAGCTCAAGCTTAGTCCAAATATGGGAAAAGTTTACATCAAGCGACTCATTAACAATTGCAAGATAACCCATTGACCGTGCAACATAAAACTGAAATGATTTTCTTTGAATAGATATGCCTGGCTGGCAGATGGCACTGTTCTGTATCCAATGCAAGTAGCATCGCCCTTGTGCGGAAACTTCGTTGGGTTAGGTGATTTAGGAGAAGTGGCGAAAACCAACACATACGACGCATGGTGCTATAAAGATTAAGTTGATCACGACAACTTGGTGGTTGCGTTACCTCATTTTGGTAGAGCTGGACAAAATGACTGAAACTTTCAAACGTTTTCCTAAGAAGAAATATTCTAATGACGAAGAATAATATGCTAATGAGGAGCATATTAAACCAAACAGAGTTGTCTTCAAGAGTGAAATAAGACACCTGTCCTCCAAAACACTGAAATCCAAGCAACGAGCAATGCGACTGAATTCGACGACTTATCAACTAAGCGTATCGAAGCAAATATTTAACTAGTATCACTCTGAATTCCAAAAAAAAAAATTCAGAAAATCGAGAATATTCTAGTGTCAGCTAAGTAATAAACAAGTGAATTAGGATTGAATGATAAAATATACTGAATAAATTTATACAAATTTTGGTTCGTTTCCAATTAAGTACGCTTGAAAGTCTAAGCTTTTGGTTGAAGATGCATCTTTTCATGCGGGCAGAGGGAACTGTCATGTAGGTTAAAAATAGACTTACAGTCGAACCTCTCTAATACAGACACAGAAGGGACAGAGCGAAGTGTCCGTATTAGAGATGTGTCCGTATAAAAGAGGTCACTACGATGATGTCACTTTTATGACTCCAGTTACAGTTCAGTACCTAAAACCAGGCTCAATTCACAGTACAAAGACACTGTCTTTCAGTAACATACAACATTGTATATCTCAGCAACAGACAAACTACTGTTTTAAAACGAAACGAGGTAAAGCTCAAGCACAATTCTGAAAGCGTCTTTCTCTATTTTGCAAGTGCAGTAAACAATAGCTAGAGTACAAAATGTAATAGAAAAGATCTTTATGCTGTCTGTAGTTATTGAAGCCTCCAGAAAGTCGGTTATGTTCCTCTGCAGACCTTTCGCAAATCGTTGTGCGGTATACAGCGACTGGGCTTCATATCACCTTTCATAGCTCATCAGCCAGACTAGACGGGATTCACCCTGTGCAGATACACCTGATCGGGATTCGGGATTCGCCTGATCCCCGCTGTGGCCGCAATAAAGAGGGTAAGTTTATATGAATTTACTCTCTGGGGCCGAGATTTAGTGTCCGTTGCCCGTATTAGATGGAGTCCGTATTAGGTTTTTTTTAAAGAAAATATATAAGACTTTTGTCGAGGCATTGGAAATTGTCCGTGATATAGAGGTGTCAGTATTAAAGAGGTTCGACTGTACATGTATTTTGAAGAGCTTTGCCGCCCGTGAACAGTCATTGTATTAGAAAAAGTATTACTAAATGTTTATGACTTCCTTGAGAGATGAATTTACGCTTTCATAGCACTAAAACTCACTAATAGATGTTTCTGTTAGTTTGCGGCCACCATGTTGGTGCCTATCGAGATGGACACCGACATAGTTTCTCCGTAGAAAGCACTATAAATTTCAATAAATCAGTTGCTATAGTCTGATTCTTGGCATGGATCTTTGCATATTTATTTTCTGGCCTTTCATATCCGAGATTCTGACCATCTGTTTGTCAGGCCAACTTCATTTAGTTGTTTCGAGCTGATTGGCTTATCAAAGTACCTGGCAGGTTGTGAAGGGGATGGTGCTATGAGATTTGCATTCTCTGCAGCCTTGGGGTATGTAGCTCAAGTCTCAAGCTCCCTCAGTGATATAAGGCACAAAGCTAGAGCTGAGATGACCGAATTCGGAGTGTGACAGCCATGTGATCCTAATTATCAGTCAAGAAGAGAGTCACCTCAGAGGGCTTATGGGTATGAGCTGACATCCTTTACAATGTAATGTCTTAATTAATGTCAAGTTAAGTTGGCATGCCAAGACTGGCAAACTAGTGCGGCTTTCATACTTTCGGCTGGATGTAAAATGCGTATATTTTAATTAACTGTGAGCAAGACTAATCGCACTCAAACTGCGGGGTGCCAAGTTTTTACAAAAAACATCTCTGTGGAAGTTTTAACTCAGTCGGACATCGAGCAAAAGGAGGAGACTGAATTTTTTTTTGTTGTACATGTCGTTCTTCATTGAAATCGTAACTATGAAGCGAACACTCGAAGTCAACGTTTACGCAAGAAACTCGAAAAGGTACTGACTATCTTATAATAATTGTTCCAAATCGTCGGCCGGAAGATTAATAACCAGTTTAGCGCTGTAACTACTGTTGCTCTTCACTTGAGTATATATACTTACCGAAAAACAGCAGCTCGAAGAATTGTTTAAGCTCAGGCTACAAGATTTTACTTTTGCAATCGTTATTGTATTTGAAATCAGTCTGTTCAAAAACACCGTCAACATTGGTTTTATTTATCTCAGAGATAAGTAAAACATTATTCAATGTTCCTCTCAGTTCCTCTCAGTTCAGTTTTAATTATTATTTCTTTACAAACATTGTACGCAACCTATAGTCAGCGCTATAAATCATTTTGCCAACTTTTCAGTGTCACCCATGAACTTTAAACATCAAATTGGTGAAAGAACTGTATTTTACTGACAAAATCATCGCTATATAAGTAGTCATGATTGCCATGGAGTTTAAATCAGATTCATACAATTTGAGACAAATCTGAGAAAGAGTGGGCAGCTGTTTTTCAAGGTTTCCTCCATCCATTCAGCAGAAATGTTAGGATCTTCGGGAAAAACGGGCGATATATAATGCTAGCAGCATTATCGTCAACAGCATCATTATGTTAAAGAATAAAACCTAAAGAAGTGTTCATTCATAGGTTGCTGAGGAACATTAGACGCAGCTAAATATCTATAAATAGCCCTTTTTTTCTAAACTGTATAATTTGTCTGTGGGAGAAATATTTTAGAATCTTTAAACCTCTTCTAGCGTCTTAACAAGCGCAACGGGCTTGTATCTTTCTGTAAACGCGCTAGAAAATTTCGGTTGAAAAATTTCAAGTCGTCTTTTGCTCCACAGTAGAATTCATAGAAACGACAACGACATTTTTTAAAGTGTCGTTGTTAAAAGTTTCGGTTATAATCAACGTACTGTTATTGATGTCTACCATTAGGCTATTTTATCTCAAAAGTGCGACACCATCATTTATTTTTATTGTACTCTTTTTTGGTAATAACATGTATATTGCTGGAATACTGAATTGACCATAGTTATTTTGTTAACAACTTTAATTCAAAACACGTACTTAGGTTCTAGAACCACCTGCCCCATTTCAACATGACACATACAGCTTTCGATCAGCTTGTTATGTGACATTGTAATGCTCTAACCTACTTTAACAGGTCATGTCGGTAGCTGCAAATCTTTCAGTTGTAAATAAAATGTGGCCATTATTAGCTTCGTGATTATCAGTACCATAAGATTGTTTAAAGCTTTAAAAAGGTTTCGAAAAGTTATAATGAAATCTTCGGGAAAAAAGGGAACCCGGAGATATGAGTACGTACGTCCGAGGGTTACCATCGGAAAGTAACCGCTCCCCGACAGTAACGGTCCCTTGAAGGCTTGCAAAATTTGCGTGAAATGAACGGCAGCCTTTACTTTTAGAATTCTATGTATAGTTTCCCACAAACTGTTTTGGTTCTTGACAAACGTTCTGACTCGACTTTCTACTTATTCTACAGCTAGTCTGCACGGAAAGCCATTCCTGAAAATGTATCCTTTAAAACGTTTCCAGGCTTTTACAAAATGCTTCCTTGTTGTGCCTTTTTTGTTTACCCTCGGCCAAAGATACGATACACGGGAAAGAACCTTTTACAGACTAAAAGACCAGTCACTGGTGGGAAATGTCTCTGTAGTGAGACAGATCAAAGATGTTCACGATTGCTCGTTTCTGTGCATGGAATATGGTCCCTTCACCTGCTTGTCATTTAACTTCAACAATACCCTGAATGAGAACGGTTTTCACTTCTGCGAACTAAGCAATGTTTCTGAATTTCATTTGGAGCCTCAAAGGAAGCAGGAAATTCCTGGTATCGATTACTATGGGATGACAAATGAAGTATGTATTTATTTAGTAACTTTTTATTCCATAGTCTTTTATTTATCAATTTTTTTTAATGTTAACAGGACTTGGTTAAGTCTATGTTAAACAGGCTAATCACAAAGCAAATCGTGAATTCGAAAATCAAATGAATTCGAAAACCAACTGAATGACTATAAAGGTTCTAAAATTTCCAAAACATTGATTGAAGTGGTCAGTTGCATTGAAAAATCAAACGATACACATATTCTACGGAATTTGCGGCTTTATCTTTAGCTGATACAATAAAACGTAACATTGATCAAGGTCAAATGACTGGAGATGTTTTAATAGACTTCCGCAAGGCCTTTGACAGCGTGAATCATTCCCTGCTATTAAAGAGGCTTTATGCCCTGGGTATCGTAGATCAAGAATTCGAGTGGTTTACTGACTATCTGAAAGGTAGAACTCAAGTTTTCGGGTTCCAGCTGCTGGGAGCTTTCTCAGACGCTAAATCTATTTGTGTCGGTGTGCTCCAAGGATCGATCCTAGGACCTCTGTTATTTGTGATCCATGTGAACGATTTATCCGCCGTTGCCCGCAAGTGTAGTACGCTAATGTATGCTGATGACACTGTCTTATTCTATTTTGAAAAGGTCGCTGCTACAATCGAGAAAAGTCTCAATGAAGATCTTGATCTAATTGGATCGTGGCTCCATCATAACAGCCTTTTCTTAAACGCGGTTAAGACTGAAGCTATGATGTTCGGAACCCACGCTAGGCTTTCTGACGCTGATTTTGGTATAACGTTTAAGGGCCGACCCATTAAGCGTGTTTTTGAATTAAAGTATTTAGGAGTTGTTTTTGATGAACATATTATATTAATTTTTATCGGGGCCCCAACTGATAGTAGTGCTTAAGGCGTCTGAATGGACCGCTACCATGATATGAATAAATAAAAGTCTCTCTCTGTCTCTCTTTATTTTATGCCTGAACCTCGAAGTGTATAAGTTGATATGGACGATTGTAATGTTTGTTCGGATTTTTCAAGCCAATTCCAAAATTCATAAATTTGCATATTGAAGAAAAGAAAATGCACTTTATTTGAATGTCAATGCATTTAAAATTAGTGTACGAAATGAGGACACTATTCATACATCCCCGCTGGAGACGGGACTGCCAATTTACCTCAACCCTTGCGCAAGGTCTAGCTAGCCGTTTGCAGGGTGGCAAAGAGATTTCCTTCATTTTTCAGTTATTTTAAGACCCCGAGTAATGGTCCAGCTCCGGGAATCGAACGTGCGACCTGCCACTTTTCAGTCAAGCGTTCTACCGAATGAGCTTAATCCGCTGCAGTAGAATATAAAAACAGTGAAATAATGAAGGAAATGTTTTATATTGACACATTTCAATACTCATTTTCTGGACTATATTTCCTAAGCAAAATCTGAATGCGGCGTCAGGCCATTTTAAACGACGTCACTGGTCTTATGCCACTGGTCTTTGGCATACCAAAGAATCAAAATGCAACGTTTTTCGGGTATGGTTTTGCTTGAGCAACCGAGGGGTTCATGAGTGGTTCCTTCTTGCTTGTGAGGGGTAATTTAAAAAAAAAAGGGGGAAACAAAAGGTCATCAACACTAAGCTCATTAATTATGAAAATCATCATGCTTAAACAATATATTATGGGCTTTTTAAGTCTTTATTTAGTGTCTGGCCATGTCTCAGTAGCCCATGTAACTACGGAGGGACATGTAGTTATGGTCCTACACCAGGTGATTATTCCTGCCAGTGCAAACCTGAAGTGTCCATCCGCCCATTTATTGACAATAACTGTTATATCGGTAGGTGAAATATTAATTGACTTATAAATAGAAGTCAGTAGTAATTAACTATTGTCAGTTTGATTAAAGAAATGACTGCCTTAGGCGATTGCACTTTGTATCTGTTATAAAATCGGAGGCTAAAATGATAGGGCTCACAGATAATTATAATTATAAATATTCGTTCAAAATGTATATCTGTTTCTGATTCGATGAAATTTCCCGGCCAATTATCTTACCAATTAAAAAGGGGAAATGATCAAGAAAAACCCTGATCATCATCTTTATTAGTCAAACTTTTCAGGCTACGCAAAGAAATAGAGAGAAATGTAGTTAAACTGTAGACAACAAGATAATATAGATTAACATAACTAAAACATGAATAATTTAAAAAAAAAGGTGTGCAGCAGCTAAAGCAGCAAAGTTTTAGAGCTGGGAAAGGAAAGGAACTCCTGTCTAGTTACTAGTTACAGCTATCATGCATTAAATTAATTCAATCTAAGAAATAAAGTTACAGTTTTCACATGAGCAAGATAAAGAAGATAATAGATATATTATGATAAAAAATAAGTTTTAGTTGCAAGTTAAGAGGGAGAAAACTATGGCTAACATTTGAGGATATCATTTTTTATCATATTGCATTTTAAAACTGCTCGTACTAGAGAGCCGTTTGAAAGTTATTGGACCTTTTCCCCATGATTTGGAGGCTGAACAGCACATGTCAACCACGACTACAAACAAATTACATGTACTTCAGAAGGCCAATCTAAAGGATTTTCTCACTCAAAAAGGCAGATCTGTATAAGCATTATGGCATTATAAGCATTATCTGACCTCTAGAGGTTTATGTTTCTAATTTGCGTTAATTTCGCTAACAATTCAAGGTAATCAATTTTCCAAGGATCTATGAGGAAACAAAATTAATAATAATTAAGAAGTCAATACCTTTTCTAATGTTTTTCAGATCTTACTGGAGTAGAGTTTTATCCTGTTGCTCAATATACAAAACTTTACGTAGCTAGCGTTGAAAGATACCTTCTGAGTTTTTCTGACGCCCAAAGATTTTGTGAACTACATGGAACAACATTGGCCGAATACTCTCACCTCCTGCAAGCCTGGCAGAATGGATTTCAACACTGCAAGTAATTAAAGCGTTAAGATTTTTCAGAAACGTTTCAAATTATTTAATAAGTATAGAGCGCGCTGTTCAATGTTTACAAATGTCATGAATTACCAGATTAAATTTACGAGAATGCAGAATGTTACATCGCTGTCGAGATTCTTTCTGCCTTGGAACTTTCGCGCAGGGCTTTATTATGCTGCCGCCTCGCGTCTTCGTTATCAATGCAAGCAAGGGAGGCAGGGTAGAACACGAAATTAACTGAAGAGTCGCAGTTGGCTACTGCTTCTCTTCCTACGCCTCGCTTGTGTTTAGTACATGTTTGCAATCAAACCTCGATGAAAAATATTTTGTAAACTTCTTTGACTGGCGTTATAGGACCGTTATTAAGTAACGCGTTTCCAAATGTGACTAAAATGATGTTTTAAAGTTGGTAAGCAATTTCTTAAGTCCCGCTCAGCACAGATTCCAGCCCTGGCTACACCCTCGCCTTATTTCTTTGTTCCTTCTTACAACTCACCACCCCCATGGCATGTAGTTTACAGTTAGGTATTTGATTGTATATCAGAGATCAATTAAGGGCCTGTTTACATGGAGGTGGGGGACTCCAGGTAGGTGAGGTAACCCGCTTAGCTGGGGTAACCCGCCTGTCCATACAGTCTCTCATTTTAATGAGATCGCGTTTACATGTTAGGTGGGGTAACCCGCCACACGTTACCTCACCTACCTGGGGTCCCCCACCTTCATGTAAACAGGCCCTAAACCTTTTGTACCTCTCAACTTATCGAACATTTGTTTTATCTAGGTATGGCTGGTTAGCAGATGGAACTGCTCAATATCCAATGCAACAGTCATTAGGGAATTGCGGGAATTTTATTGGAGTTAGTGGTTATAATTGGCAGATCGACAAGAGCAGCACATTCGACGCATGGTGTTATAAGGATTAAATCTGACATTTGTTTAACAGCATCTACGATGCAACAGGAAGACTCAGGGGCACCCAACGAGAATATAGTTCAAAACCACTTAAACATAGCATTCTTAAACGTGTTTTAGTATTTAAACGGTGGATATGGGCATATTTTTATCCCCTATAAATTTTTCATCTGTTCGGATTTCCTAGCTGAAAGTCTAGTGATCCGAAAATTATAGGGATCAAAACTTACCCGTTCGAAAATTTCACTCAGAAAAAAGACTCCCGAAAATTCTAGGTGACCTTTTTAGGGTAAAAATCCGTTGAAAATGGGCAATTTTACCATTTTTTAGATGTTCGAAAATCCTAGGAGAGGCAGGCAAGCAAGAAACTTTACAACAAATTTTCCGAAAATTCTAGATCTCAAATCGTCTTCCGAACAGATATTTTCCCGAAAATTGTCGTTGGGTGCCCCTGAAGGCTGTTGATAAGCTCTCCCAGTCTCTGTTTGCCTCATCATCTGATTCGACAATTTCATTAGCCTCTTGACTCTAAGGGCACTTATGACAAAAAGAATCACCTCAGTTATGTCAGAGGCAGAAATCAGCTTCGACCAATTGTTGCCTGTGCACGCACTATAGTGATGAAACCTCATAAATATCATAGTGTAATCTTAGGATTATTAACCCAGAGTGTCAATCAAATACGTTTCAATTTATTATAAGTTCAAAATGTAATAAAATGGTAATAACAAAAAACTGGTAAAACTATTCAAAGGTTTCCTTACACTTAAGCTTTAATAGCTCCTCTACTCTACCCCTGTGTGCCATTTAACCTTGTACACCCGTAGAAGAAGAGGTCTTAATTTCTTACGAATAAATCCTTACTTATTAATATTTTGTTACGAATCGTCTGTATTTGGAATTTTCCCATTAGGGGGCTGCGAGGAGTTCAAAGCGATAACATTAAAAATTTAAGGAACGATCGCGAGTTACTTATATAAACCTCACATCGTATTGTTTAAGATACGTTCAACAGAATAGTTAAATGGAAGCAACTTTTGGCAAGATGTTTTCCTGTTTGGTACAAACCTACGATGCACTAGGTATGGTTTCATGTTATTGCGAGGCCTTTCTGGTCTTATGGCGGTTGAACTAACGCACTTAGACTTTATTTGGTAGTGGTTAGTGTAACTTTGCCACATGATGTTTTGAAGAAATTGAAATCAATTCTTAATATCATCTTTTTTTTCAACATACATCAGAAATTGTGTACACGTAACAACCCACATAGGAAGTCATTTTAATTTATTTATTCATTCATTTACATATTTTTTGCTCTCTCTCTCAAAATACTTGCATTTTTACTGACTAACAGACTTAATTCTGTTGTAGTTAGTATAAACTTGTCATGATCCCTTGAAGAAATTTAAATCGATTCTTAATATTGTGTTATCTTTCAACATATATCGCAAAATGTTTATACGTGACGTAACCTAATGTTTTTCTTAACCTGACAAGCTAAGTCGTAGTTCAGAATTCAAATGGAGAACTTAAGGGTGGCTCGTCGATTTGGTTCTTCTGGGATTAACCTGTGTATTTTTGGCTTCTCCGATGTCTAGAATCTATGGGTCTATTCGCGCAGCGAGGAAATTCACGTTCAAGTTGTCTATATTGGAAGACGTTATGTTTTCAGGAGAGCCAACAAAAACAATTGGTCAAATACAATTAAAATGAGTGTGAGAATTAACAGATGTGCACTAATAAAGTATTTTTTTAATATTTTGAAGATAAGTTACATCATGCTGAGCCCCAGCTAATGTTAAGGCTAAGACCTTTTGTACAGTCTTACAGTGGTCAAAAGAAAGCCTGTGCGTGCGTGGGAGGTTATACGTACATGTAATCACAGTAGAGTTTGTTAGCAGTTTATTATTATTTCTTTAAACTATTTTTCTTTTCTGACCCCCATAACATTTGCATGATTTTACAACTTACTCCTAGCTCTATTTGTCTTTCTTCTCACTCATTTCGATTTTGTGGCTTTTCAGAGTAAAGAAAGCACGTTAGTTTGTGAAATGGTATCTTTCAATTTTATCGCTGGTTTGAGGAAATGGCTCGTTCTTCTATCCTTGCTTGTACTTGTTCAACAATATTTGACACGTGAAAGGCAGTTTTACAAAATAGAAGGAAAATCCTTGCTTGGCAATGTTACAGCCGTCATGAAAGTCAAAGATTTTTTCCGTTGTTGCTTTCTGTGCATGCAGTATGGTCCTGTGGCATGCCTCTCCTTCAACCTGGAAAGAAACAATAATAGCATTCATACCTGTGAGCTAAGCAGCTCAGAAAAATATTTGGAGCCTCAGAAAATGCGGAGAAGACTTGATTACGATTACTACGGGACCGAGTTTCAGGTATGGTGACCGAAACCCACCCATTTAGGGCGCCTAGCTCTTAGAGTGGGCAATTTTATTATTCCTATTCAATGGAAATTTTGTCTTTTCAATGGAAAACTTGTCTGTTCTGACAACGCTCCGTGTATTTCTTCAATACTTTTGAAAGAGGAGGATTTGCTGCCACATTTTCTCACTCTTTAGGCGGAAGAATGGATTCAGTTTTTTGACTTCCCTTGTTCAGTCCAAACCTCTAATGATTGAGAGATTTAAAGGAGTTAGAGGCTACAACACGTAAAGTAATTAGAGTTTCCTAAGCAATCAGCTGCTCTTCGGGCAATCCGATTATTTTTTTTTTTCTTCTACTTTTGCACAACGAATTTGTGACAGGAATGAAACAAAGACAATTATGGGACTACATTCTGATAGGTCCAAAATGTTCCCCACATCAAAAACCTTTGTTTCGATAGGTTCTGAAGGTAATCATGATTACGCATTTAAGCAATTAACAACTAACTGCAAGAACTATACTGGCAAGAAGGAGATTGTAAAGGCAAAAGTGACATCAGCTGAGGCCCTGGGCCCGGTTGCATAAAACGCCCGTAACAACTACGGGTATACGTACGTGCACTCGTAACTTAAGTGAGTTGCATTAAATCACTTAAGTGGTCCACTTAGGGAATTCACTTAAGTGGTTGCCCTTACGATTTTCATAAGTGTTCACTTAAGTGTCGGTAACGCAACAGAAATTGCGGGTGTTGCATAAAACTTTTTTTACGGGAAAAATAGCTCGTAAATTGACGGGACCTATGTAGGTCCCGTATCGTTACTGTTTTTACTAAAGTTAACAAGATCTTTTACTAAGAAGTGAAAAAAAGCAATTTTTCTTCACGTAATTCGTTCTAATGCGCTTTCTGATGTACACGTTAAGCCGACGTTGTGAAAAAAGAAGAATTATCATTTTCAGTAGACATTGAAGAAAAATAACGATTGCGTGCAAATTTCATTTTTTTGAGAGGCTTAAAAGTGTTCGAAACGACTAAAAAGTTTCTTTACACTCACCGATGGTTAGCTTAAAAAAAAAAGAGTAAGTTATTAATAAAGTAATATATCAAAGTTACATGTGCCTTTAAGTGAGCCCGTAAGTTACCACGTAAAACAGTAACTTACGAGAGTGCTAAGTGCGTTTCATGCAACACCCGTAAGTGTGCCCATAACGGATTCGTAAGTGACCTACTTAAGTGGGCACTTAAGTGTAGCTTTTATGCAACCGGGCCCTGACATTGTTGCGGTGGGTCCCGTTGCACGCGAGGCGGATCGGCCACCGATGTTGTCTTGTGCAAGATGCATTGAAGGGAAAGTTCCCCAACATTTTGATGTGTTAAGGTCTACAATGAGCCAGCAACACGGTTATAATACTCGAAATGGTTACATGCTATAGTCAGCAGGCCAAGAACGGAATAAGCAGAAACAAAACATATTATAAAGCAATTAACGTTTGGGCCTTACTGCCGAGTGAGCTCAAGAGACTCATGTCAAGTGGAAAAAGTTTAGTTTTATTGAACAATTTTGAATCGTAGTTGGTATTTTTACCTTAGTTTTCAACGATTTTTAAACACAAACTGAAACGTTTCTATAAAAAAAAAATTGACCTTAGTTAGTATCTTTAACTTTAACTGGTATTTTTGAGTTGACCTTTATTTGTATCTTACGAAGAATTATGGAGATCGGGGAGGGGGTTATCCGCTGTTTTATTATTCATTCAAAATAATTCCTACTTTAAAAACAAAGCTAAAGCATGCTTACCTCCATCGATGTTAAGTTTATCTTCGATCATGCAAATAATACGAGCAAAATTCTTCCAAATTTGGTCACCAGTAGGCTTGTTATGGTGAATTATGCGTGTGCTTTTAGCCAATCAGAATCGGGGAAATATTTATTTATTTATTGTACGTAAAAATACCTTAAAAATTCGAAATTGTGCATACTAAATTTATATGTATATATAAGTGAGATGAGCCTACCTAACAATGCATGTTATGTTTTATTCATGATAGAATCTAGTTTTCCTCCGCCCATGTATCCTTAGTCCATGTAAGTTTGGAGGGACTTGTACTGAGGGTCCTGGATTGGGTGAATATTCATGCCAATGCAAGCCAGAAGTCTCAGTTCTTCCATTCATCGACAACAGATGCAATGTTGGTAAGTTGCGGAGAATCTTAGGAAACAAGTGTAGGTCTTATTTTCTTCAAGGGCCTTAAAGCTTGTTGAACCAACTCAAAGGCTGCTGAGGAAAGCGGTTCAAAGTCCTTGTCAACTTTTGTCAACGAAACAGCAGCTTTCCCTTCAAAAGTAACGATTACTTTCCAAGCAAGCGGGTTAACTTGCTCCACAGGCCAAAGACTGGCTTTTTTATGTGAAGGCCCAAGACAGCTGAGTGAAACTGCACTAAAAACAAAGTATTTACGATTTAGTGATTCAACTTTATTGGGCACAGTCCAGTCCAGTGGGGATAGGCACGATCGGAACTTAAAAATTCTGGATTCGATGCCGTGCCCTCCCCTCGCTACCCATTTCCACTACATCAGTGAAATGTCCTTTTCCGATAAGACTATAATGTTTAACGATTTGCAATCAAATGCAACACTATCTACTCTAAAATTTTAAGACTTGCACCGGTCGATAATCGAGCTCGGTACTCCCGCTACCAGTCTGCTGGCTAGCACAACCATGGCCAAATCGGCTTACGGTGGTCATGCTTTAAAAAGACTATTTTAATAGCAAAGCAGGGGCTACGTCTTAAGGAAATTTTCAAGGCCAACAATTTGACTTGACAACGAAACTAGTCTGCTAAATGCTCAGTCAGGAGTACTCTTATTCTGCAGCACAACACTGGCCATGACGAAACGTAGTTGTAGTCGAAGTATTGACCTGTTCACAACTGCCCTTATATTTGTACGAATATCTCAAAAACAGGCAGAGTTAAATTCTTGCTGTTGCTTTGCTCCCTGCATCAAACGTTTTTGCAGCATTATCCTCCCTTCTCGGCCTTTTACATTTTTTGTAACATTTGTTATCACTGTTTAGATACCAACAATATAACAGTCCTCAGCCCCACTAAAGGAGTATTTTGGGGTGCAGTCACCAGATACAACTTGAATTCTTATGATGCCAGACGATTTTGTGAACTTCTGGGAGCAACCATCGCCACGTACCATCAGCTTTATGTTGCCTGGGAGGCTGGCCTTGAGCACTGCAGGTATGTAAATTTTTTCTTCTTCCACCTAGAGCAGAGAGAGTTATTCTTTACCTGAGGAGCCCATGATCTCCTGTACCTGCCAGTTTAGTTAATTCCGATCATGAAATCTGCTCAATCAACAATCATTGAAGGAGGCTGAGTATGATGTGAAGGATAACGCAGATCGAGTTGGGTGTGGATAACAACCTCCGAGATCTGCATAATTCAATCTTGACATCATACGAAAGTCGAATTCAATAATTGTTTTATTACTCATTCCAAATATTTGTAGTTCCTTAACACCTCGT